GTGCGATACTTATAGGACGTACAAAAATAAACAGCAGAAACAAAGCGTATTCAATTATCGATTATCAAGGGCTAGAAGAACAATTGAAAATAGTTTTGGTATTCTAGCAAATAGGTGGCGGATTTTTAGAAAACCTATTATTCTAAGTGTTGATAATACAATGAAAATTGTGCAAGCAACCGTATGCCTCCACAATTGGTTACGCATGGCAGACCTTAATGAAGAAGAAAATATTCAATATGTAACACCAGAATTAATTGACAGACAGAACAAAAACGGTTTCGTACCAGGAAGTTGGAGAGCAGATATGGAGACCTTAAGGGGATGCTGGAGCCGTAGCCGAACTCGATCGGCGTCGGTAAAGAAGACCGGCGAACTATATCTGTCCTTGTATAGACAAAGATATAGACAAGGATAGCACGCTACATTGCACGCACACATACGCACGATGCACACCGACATTATACTTTTATATTACGCTTCCAAATCTTGATTTGGGGGGTTTATCGATGTTTTTCTTGTTGTGCAATTCGGGGAAACTTGTTTTCGCGTTCGTACCAATAGTATATCTCTTATATGAAATACATCTTGTGACGAGCTGACAGCTCGCCGCAACTCGAGACGCCATATTGGGATAAGAGTAGGATAAGGAAATCTGTACTTCCGTAATTTTTTCTCGTTTTCTATATAAAATCAGAGTTTCCCCGAATCATTAATGTATGTACTGCAATTCTGGAGAAGGATTTTTAATTCTGTCAAATTAATACGACGCTACGTGCCGACAAAAAATGCCGGTAAAACAGACGGCTCCAGCATCCCCTTAAGTGGCATGGCAGATATAACTCGCTCAGGAAACAACTCCAGTTCTCGACAAGCAGCAGAAGTCCGAGAAAAATTTCTTTATTATTTTAACAACGATGGAGCTGTAGATTGGCAATATGCTTACATGTAACTAGATTAAAAAGCGATCATTCTGTAAAAATATACAATATACTGAAATGTTCAATTATAAAAAATATTTAAAATAAAAATATATACTGACATGTGTAAATAAATTAAAAAGCAGTCATGTAATTGTAAAATTAAATTTTTTTATTGTAAATTATATAAAAAATATTTTGCTTATGAGAAAATAAAATGTACTACAAGGTTTTGAGAACGGGTATATATTTCTAAAGATATATATTTCTACAGGTATATATTTCTAAATTTTACACGTATGAGTTTTTCCTATAAGTGTTGTTATATATAGATAAACTTAAAAAAACCAATTGTTTGCTTACATAAAATTATCTTCATTTTCAATTTTAAAAAGAAGTTCATACATTTTAAACATTGCCATATTTACTTTTTTTAGAGGTAACTTTCGCAATTTTCTATCCATTGTTAAACAAAAACTACAAATTTCATCCTTCTCTTTTATTTCAGGCATGGGTAAGAGCGGTTGTTGTAAAAACATCTCTATTTAACCACATTAAAAAAATTAAAAAAAAAAAATTTTGTTTAAAAAATTATTTTTTAAAAATATTATATTAATGTTGTTGAATAGAAGAGATTTTACCATAAAACTTTTATTTGAAACATTTTTTTATATCTCGAATACTTTTCGAAGTATATCGAGAAAAGCAAAAAACCGCTCTACATATGAGAGGTGATTTCACCCCTTAAAACCGTTTTTAGGCCGCTACAAAAAATATCTAAATTCATCTTTTTACTCCCCTTACATGTGTGAAAAGTTATATTAAAGTCAGAATTTTCCACTTCGCGAGGTTCCCTTGTAAGTATATAAGGCTCTCCTGAATAAATCAAATAGGAAATAAGGAGAGAGCCACATGCGGTAATTATTGCGCAATTAATATATAGTTAATAAGATAATAAAATATATTAGTCAATATACTTTTTTCTTTGTTAGTATTGAGAAGATCCTCAATTTCTTGCCACAGTTTGTCTTTAATTGCTTTTGTGCGTTGTGACGCTGAAAAATCTTTATAATTCCATAAGGGAGGACGTTCTTGCACAGCAGCTATTAACATTTCCTCTATTGATGCAATTGTGACAGCACTGTTATCATTACCCGTGTCAATATTTTGTCTTGTACTTTCCATAATACTTGGAACACAACTCTGACCTTTTTCTATAACCTCACCATCAGCTTTATCAAATAAATGTACAAGATTAAAATAATACTAATTAGAATAATATTCATAACAAAATATATTAAATTATTAATACTTTATTTTCTTACCTGTCTGAGGGTAAAAATAATTAGATTCGGTTATAATAATATTTTCATATCCTACAACGCACGGATGAGTGTTGATGGTATCTATTTGACATTGTTGTTCGCATATGCCGCATGCATATATTATAAAATTCTGAAAATATATTTAAAACCATGTAAAAACTATTTATTTCTCGATATTTTATTTCAGTTGACTGTGTTTGCATTTTATAGGTTTGCATAACATTTATAGGTTATAATTTTATGCAATCCGAACACATGCGAAGTATTTAAATTAAATATATAAAATCTTTGTTCTTTAATTACCTCTGTCGATTCCATTTTATAACAACTGATGTTTCTTTACACATTTGTATCTTGCTGACTTTCACCTTGCTGAGGGCGAATATTCGTTAAAAGCTGAAAAAATCCAGCGAATAGCGATTACTCGCTAGCGAACAGCGAATGACCACGTGACCTCCAATCGCGGCGATTTTTTCGCTGCGTGAATAGGCACCTTAAGTGTTACTCGTACAACGATCACCGAGAGACTGCCTCGAGTTGTTTGTCTCGCTTGGGCTCCCCACCATCGATATCGGCCCCCACTTCGACGTCTATTCGACTTTCTCTTTTCGCGAAGCTTCCTAACTGCGCATATTACCGTGGTAATTTTCCACGCGGGTGTTTACGCTGCTTTCTCTGGAAATTTCCATGGGCGTTGCGCTCGCGCGGTCGCTCCGTCCCGATGCCGAGGTAGTAGTTTTCCACCGTTGACAATATGGCCAGGTCGTTGACGCCGACCTGTGCGCCTAAGCTGTTCTCGCGCGTACAATGTAATTCCGGACGACTTCCTCGAGAAAGACGTCCGTGTGCAGAGCACCAGGCTCGCCGACGACGTCGATTCCTCCTGACCGTTGTTTGGGACCTGGTAACGCGGTTTCCGCGGTTCTTCCTCGTGGAAGAGGTCTAGGTCGCGAGATAGCGGACGGTTCCGTAACTTGTCTCCCGGTCGTCGGATTTCGACGGAGACCGGATACGGATCTATTTTGGGATGTCCTCGTTCGTCAGGGGTGTTGTTTCCCTGAGGATGACGCACCTGGTGCGAGATCACGGACGGTCCGCTATTTCGTTTCCCGGTCGACGGATTTCGTCGGGACTCGACTGTAGACACTCGTAGGAGTGCCCCTCGGAGTCAGGTGTACTCTATTCCCGTGGACGACGCACCTGGTGCGAAGTCGCGGACGGTTCGCCATTTCGCGGTTACGCTCCCGCATCGCGTCGTCAACCCCATATGGATCATCTTTGGCTTCCGTGCCTACGTCAGGGACGTATCATGTTGACGCAAGTCCCACGGCCGCAGATTTTTCGGACAGTCCGCCATTTTTTACACGCGTCGCCGGACTCAGGTTTTTACCGGCGAAGTACGTTTCTCGGGTCTCCCCCTGTGGTCAGGGGTCGGTCATACCCGCGTATATCGCGCCGCTACCTAGTTTGCGGACGGTCCGCCATTTTCTTATTGCGCGACATTCTCGCACCGCCGCTACGCGTCGCCTACCTTTCAGGTCTCGGTGAGTCGCCAAGGCTGGTCATTACCCGTTTCGCACGCGTGGTCCGCCATTTTGCGAAACGTCGTTCGCCCGTCCTGCGGACTGCCGTGGCTCGTCCGCCGTGTTGCGGGAAGGCCTCCTGGCTGTGGGGCTGGTGCGCGAATCACTAAGTTTAATCGTTATAATCGCGTTGGATGGGTCGCTCGGGGACATTATTGGGTGCGTGGATTTTAACTCCACGTGATTTGAGCCATAGTAGGGCCCGGACCGTGAACCCGGTCCATTTCCCATCCTCGGAACGCTGTGTCGCTTTCTTACAACTACTTATTTGGTTACCGTTCGCCTTTGCTGCTCTCGGTCCCCTGGTCATCTCCGGTGATGCGCGCGGCTGCAGGGGAAGGTGAGGAATGGATGATGGAAATAGAGGGGGAAAGAATGGAAGAAAGAGAGGAGGATGAGATCACCAGAGGGGTGGAGAAGCTTCTCTGACCTCTGACGAGGAAAAGGAGGATAAGAGGAAAAGAGAGTGGGCCAAGTAGGGAGGAGCCGTGACAGGAGGGAGGGAGGCAGAAGAACACAACTCGGAGGAAGCAGAGGAAGAGGAAGAGGGGTGAAGAGGGGTACGGGGAGGGAGAGGAAAAATAATAATTGTGAGGTCGCAAATGGCCAGGTAATACGGGGATGTGTTATAAGAGGTTTGGGTACGTTCCTCACAAAAACGCCTTGTAACCCCTACGGGGAAAGGCAATAAACTAATCATACATTTATTTATACTTATATTTATTTGGATTTATATTTATTAATTGTATTTGTTTTTTTGTGTAGGGCCATCATTACTTCCTTAGTCAAAAAGTTTCGTAACCAAATCAGATTATTCGTTACGAAACTTCGTGGGATGCATAGGGACATCGCGCGGCTGGACTCGAACGAGGAGGTAGGTCGTCGCGAGAGATATGACGATGACGACGAGGGAGATCGCCCGAACCCGAACAGCCAAGGAGTATTAACCATCAATGACGATGTCCCCGTATGTTGGTCCTCCCAGAAGTGAAAAAAAGTGTGAATGTTCGGGCGCGGAGCAGACTTTCACGCCGAACTGAGGTTGCCGGGATCGTTCAGAGAGAACGAGAGGGATAACAGGCGGAAGCGAGAAAGTGTTAAGGCGTAATGAAGCAAGGAGCGAGGAGCGAGGAAGTCCAGATTCAGATCTGGCTGAAGCACACTCGTAGGGCAAAATAATGCACCGTTTTAGAGCTTTGGTTACTCCATTTTAATTAGCAGTTCGTGGCTATTACAACGTTCCCGCGACACTTGCTTCGATTTCACGTAGGATAGCTGGGACTGAATTCGCTCGGTCGTATGCGATTTCGGCGCAGAGAGTGATCTCTTGAGACGTACAGACCAGACTGAGCCCGCTGGCTCTGACTTCCAACACGAGAGAAAACGGCGCGATGCCCTTATTGGTTGTTGATTCCGCGATCGCACGTGTCACGCTCCGCGAACGTGTCAAGATGAACGGGTCCACGCGGCCAGCACGGCAATATACATAGACGAGACACTCTGCCGAACAATAAATATGTACTTAGGCGAAACGCTTGACTAAAGGAAACATAAATTTGACTCGAAGTCGTTACACGCTACTTATAACATGAAACTAGAATTATGAACATCTGACAATAAAATATAAATTTGTTGGTCAATCCTGAACAGTGAAATACAATATATTTTTAAAAAATTTTAATAAATATGAAAAATGTAATAAATATGTATATTAAATATATAATTAATCAAATGTAATAAATGTATAAATATGAAAAATATATTATAAAAAATAATCTTCATTCCACATTATAAAGATCACCCAAATATTTTCAATATTTTATAAGTATAACATTATTTTATTACAAAAGAAAGTGTAGAATTGAAGATTTTCGAATACTTTAAATAATATTCTTCAAATTATTGCACTCTTTTAAGATAAACATTTTTGTGAAAATTGAAAACCAATAGAACCGCTTTCCATAAGGTCGGCGCTGCAAATCTGTAGGGAGCAGCATATCTGTCTCCCTTCCGATTGGTCGGCCCCCTCTCCTGCGCTAGCAAGAGGGGTTGAGAGTTACGAGGTTGGCAGAACTGAGTTACGACGACCGTTAGATTTGTACTGGCTCTCGTGGCTGTTGCGTGGTCTGCAATAAAGTATTATTCTATCAGCAGTAATCGAGTGTGTGATTAATCCTCGATTCCTCTCGTCAAAACGTCGGTAGTAGGCCGACACCCGGAGGCATAATCAACCTCCTGCGGTTCAATTACCTACATTGGTGACCCCGACTAAAAAAACACGCAACGGTTCTTGCACAAATTGCTACCGGAAGCCCGAGTCAGAGATAAATCCTCGTGTGGACCAGACTTCCCCGAGGAACGGACGCAGAAGTAGCGGATTGAATTGCGGGTGCAGCTGCAAGGTACATCCCTGCGCCCGCGTCCCTGGCTGTTATTTGCTCACGCTGCGGCCAGCCAGCCTTGCCACGCCGAAACATTATTTGGGCGGCCATTTTTTTTGCCGCGCTTTCTTCACGAGGCACGAGGCGGGCACGTGAGACCCTACCGGCGCCCGGGTGGCCACAGCGGTTCTGCCGTCTTGTTACCACGACCATCTCCTGGTGTGTGACCGGCCCTTCTCCGCCCCCGCCGTTACCGCCTTCTCCTGGTGTGCGACCGGCCTTCCCTTGCCGATGCTACGGATCAACAACGTCGTTATCGCCTCATCGCTGTGATTGCGTGAAGCCAACGACACCGGCGCCTTGGATTCCCTCGCTGTTGAGACATTTAATGCGTGAAACCAACGTCTCCGGCGCCTTGGGTTCTATCGTCACCGGGGCTTTGGATTCTACTCACCATTTACCCGGCTATAATAATGTAAAAGTAAGCTAATAACCCGCCGCGCACCGTCATTTATATTGTATAACGCTCGTGTCGTTTACCGCTCTTGTGTCGCTAATATCTCACAGTAATAAATTAAACAATGTCGAACGCAGACCTTGCCCAAGCCCGAGCGGAGGCAGCGGAAAACCAGCTTGTGCAATTACAAAGCCAGCTCGCGCAATCGCAAGCCCAGCTCGCGCAATTACGAACCCAGCTAAATGCTCAGGGCTTCGATACAACTATCTCAAACGCGACTGATAATAACACTTAAATTCCGCGTATAGATAATTACAGGGTTCCCAAGATTCCCCCGTTTTCTCAAGTCGACCCAGAATTGTGGTTCATCCAGGTCGAACTTTCCATGAGAAACGCACGAATTACCGTACAGTCCACTATGGCCGATACCGTACTCGCCGCACTTGATGTTGAAGTATTGAATTGTGTAAGGGACATAATTATTTTAAGACCTACCCCAGAGAATTTATGAGCAAGTTAAAGCCCGAATTATTGCGACGTACGCGCCTTCGGATGAAACAAAACTACGAAAACTTTTAAGGGGACAAGTTGGTACCGACGGAAAGCCTTCGCTAATCCTCAGCCGATTGCGCGGTCTTAATGACGGGAATGTAGACGATAACGTAATAAGATCAATTTTTCTCGTTTAATTACCATGCGAACACCGCGCGATCCTCGTATCCACGGGAGTTACCGACCTCAACCGTATAGCCGAAGCCGCTGACCGAATGGCTAAGAGCGCTCGCGGAAATGAGCCTTACGCGTCCGCCGTGTCTAAGGGGAACTCACCCCCTCCCTCAAAGACCGAAATTCAGCAACTTATCGCCGATATGATGGCCTCATTTAAAAAAGAAATCGAAAATCTGGGAAAAACGCTAAATTTGCGTTCGCGTTCGCGATCCAACTCCCGCAGGCGTAGGACCTCAACCTCGCCAAACAGGGCGATCACATCCGCGCTCTGTCCGGCTCATACCAAATACCCGGATAATCCGACTTCGTGTCGATGGTGCTCAAAATATGAGACTTGAAAAAG